GAACAGTCAGTAGTAAATTAGTCATAACTTGTTCAATAAAAAATCAATGGATGAAAAGTTTAAATATTTGAAAACTAGATAGATATAGCTTTAATTTGATATATTATAGGCTGAATTTGGATAACTATAGACCTATTGCCGAACCATTCATTTTATCATCACACACATTTTGGTTTCCCTTATTTCTTGGTTTCCACTGAACAATCCGTAGTAAATTGACCATAAATTGTTCAATAAAACTCTAATTGACAAACGGTTTGAATATTTAGAAACTAGACAATAGGGCTTGAATTTGATATATTATATCCTAAATTTAGATAACTGTAGACCTATTTCTAGATAATTTATTTTATCATCACACATATTTAGGTTTCCTCCGTTTCTCAGTTTCCACTAAACAGTCAGTAGTAAATTGATCATAACTTGCTCAATAAAAATCCAATTGAAAAACGATTTGAATATTTGAAAACTAGATAGATAGAGATTTCATTTGATATATTATACTCTAAATTTTGATAATTGTAGACCCACTATTGAACAATTCATTTTATCATCACACACATTTCGGTTTCTCCCGTTTCTCCGTTTCCACTGAACAATCAGTAATAAATTGGCTATAACTTTCTCAATAAAAATTTAATTAACAAACGGTTTGAATATTTGGAAATAGATAGAAAGAGGTTTAATTTTATATATTATACGCTCAATTTGGATAACTGTAGGCCCACTGTCAAACCATTCATTTTATCATCACACACATTTTGATTTCCCCCATTTCTCAGTTTTCACTGAATAGTTATTAGCAAATTAGCCATAACTTGCACCATAAAAATCCAATTGACGAATTGTTTCAATATTTGGAAACTAGATAGATAGAGCTTTAATTTGATATATTATACTCTGAATTTGGATATCTATAGACCCATTTCCGAACCATTTATTTTATCATTACACACATTTCGGTTTCCCTTGTTTCTCAGTTTCCACTGAATAGTCAGTAGTAAATTAGCCATAGATTGCTCAATAAAAATTCAATTGACGAACGGTTTGAATATTTAGAAACTAGATAGACAGAGCTTTAATTGTATATGTTATACGCTGAATTTGGATAATTGTAGCCAAACAATTGGCTACAATTGGCCGCACCATTTCCCTATAATTGTAGCCATTGTTGAACAATCATGTTTAATCCTATAATTTTAAGCATTGCTTAACAATTCTGTTTAATGTTAACAGCCAAGATGCAAAGTCATTAGTTTGTACAATACAATTAGAATAGATTATCTGTCGTACATTTCCCATTACCAAATGTAATATTGTAATGCCTTTTTCAATTAATACTATATTAAAAGTTTTTTTTTTTTCATGATAATTGATGCAATGAAATTGCCGATCAATATTTTTTTCGCAAATCTTGAGTATTGCAAGAATCTCCAGATCAAAACCATCAACTTCAAACCTGTCTGGTACAGTGATAGCATATTATAGTAAACTAAGTTTTCCATTCCATAACTTACTTTTTTCACCAATAACAAAGTCATTAATCTTAATAAATAAATAAATTATCATAAATGTTGAAAACATAACTTTTATTTATACAATATGATAAAATTAATATTAATTCTTTTGTAAATAATATTTCTTTATATCAACAATAAATATATAATATTTATTTCACATATAATATTTTATTTATTGATTTCTTTAATTATCATTTCAATATAAAATGAACTCCAATATAGAAAATATATATTTAAAATACAAAAAAAAAAAAAATAATGTAAACAAAATATAATAAACATACCCGCGCAACGCACAAACTTCCCATCTAATGACATATTTTGAAACGGAGTGAGTATTAAACATTCCATGACACTAACATAGTAGTACGTGGGCTGGGATTAGCAGGCCCATAATAAGCCTAGATCAGCCAAATGCTCGAAATTAATAAAAAAATCGGTGTGATTGAGGCATGGAGACATGAAAAAATTCGAGCATTAACCAAGTGGAGGAGTTGTATTACTTGAAGATGAACATTACTTTTTGGCTTGGAGACTGCTTATAAGTAATCTCATTTTGATAATTGACTATGGCCTATTGTTGACTCCAATAGCCAATCACAGCTGTAACTGCAAAAGACCATGAGGGCGCCTGCTATAAGGGAAAGACTCTTATATAGCCAGATTCAGAAGGCTTCTTCGTTGGTTTCTTGAAGTCGATTTAAGCCTTGTTTTGCCTCTCCCCCTAAAAGAATTAATTCATTTTTAGTTCCTATGGTTTTTGTTTAATACGTTTCAGGATAGGGTTTCCAATACTACTGTTTTAGTCCTTTGACTAAACAACAAAACTACAGACACCGATTATTTTGCACCGAAAATGTGTACCGACCTACGTGTACTGGTGACTCACACCAATAGTCAGACGCCTGATTTTTTTATAAATATTTTTCTAGTGAACGGCTGTCCATCAAATATGGACGGTCGTTCACTCATATGGGCTCCCGTCCGGGTCCATATGCCATGGACAGGCGTCCCCATTTAAAGGACGCCCGTCCATAAATAAAATACAATAAAAAAAAATTTATAAACATTAGGGACGGCCATTCATCCGTTATGGACGGCCGTCCCTTTATTTTGGACGGGCGTCCACAAATAAGGGACGCCCGTCCTTAACCAAAATATGAAAATAAAAAATAAAAAAAACTTTGGGGATGGCCGTCCATAAATTTTGGATGGTCGTCCCTTACGTTTGGACTGGCATCCATTGGGAATGGACGACAGTCCCTTACGTTTGGACAGGCGTCCCGCCCGTCCATACTTTAAAAAAAAAAAAAAAAAAATTCTAAACCTCTTCTTCTTCGCTCTTCTTCATCTTCATTCCCCATCTCCTCTCTTCTTCTTGTCCAGTGTTATTCTAAGATTAATAATATCTACCACAATACCATTAGAAACCGTGACTAAATCCCAAAACAGAACCCAAACACAGCGAGAAACAAAACCAAAACCATTTCCTAAGCACACTTATTATATTTAACAGACAAGAAAAATGAAACCACACCCTCTGCAAACNAAAATTATTTAAATTGCTTCTTAATATATAATGATCCTAATATTTTTTAAGATACTTCAGTGAATATTATCTGGGAGAAACAAATATAACAAATAATACATAAATAAAACACCTTAAAAAAGTAGATGAGCAGGGGATGGAAACCACTTATGTTGATCCAAACTATTCACTTGTAATCAGGGACTTCTTTTATCAAAATTCAAAGGGAACTCAGTGAACTAGAATTTGATTCTGCACTTGATGAATAAGTAGTTTTCTTTCTAGCATTCAAGGTTGATGATTACAACTCTTCTAAAACATCAACATAATCAAATACGTAAAATGCCAAAGCGGCGATCTTTCCTTGTACATGGAGAACACCTTCATAACCTTAAAAAACACTTAGATTGATTACGCAATGAATCACCAAATGGAAAGCAAAATTGCTGAAATATTGCACTGATTCGAAAGATGACATCAAACACGCAATAAGTTCCAAGCTGGCACAACTTCATTATAACTTTCAGACTATGAACTATTATGCATAAAACTGCCGAGTTAAAGACAATAACCTAAAACCAAGTCTTGCAATCTTGTGAATGTAACCTCTATACTATGATCTCTCACTTTTTTCCTTTGGGAGTGCCCCAAGGACGCCTTTTTCGTGTCAACGCAAACTCTCCAAATTTATGACCAACCTTTTCTTCGGTAATCTTACAGCGAATAAAGGTTCTTCCATTGTAAATTCGTATGGTGCTATTAAGGAATTCAGGCAAAATGGAAGATCGACGAGACCAAACTTTCTTGTTCGAAAGAAGATCTTTCCGATTCTTCAGTCCCATCAGGAATGCATCAATAAAACTACCCTTCCATAAAGATCGCCGCGGCATGATCTCAAATCTTCACTACACTTTGCTCCAAGTCAATAAAAACTAGCACCTACCCAACAGATCCAATCATAAAATACAGCAATCAAGAAATTATTCCAATCGTCATTAACTTGATTTCTCAGAAGAATACAATAAGCAAACATGAATGCTTGATATAAGGTACATATCATATGATACAGTTAAGCCAATAAAAAAAACAACAGAAATTAATTAAACCAAAGAGTACCAAACGAGACTAACATGTAAAAAATTCAGAAATTAAAAAAGAATAAAATACAAAAAATTTGTCAAAGTTCTCATCAAAACACATTAACTTGTAAGCCAAAAAAAACCCAAATTAAATTGTTCTCTGTGACAATTTTCTAAAACCTTAAAGGCATAGATCCACATTTCATGGAGCTTCATTAGAGAAACCATGATATGTATTTAAAGAAAAGAAAATTGGTATCTACTACTCTATAATAAAGATATCCACGAATAATCCGCACAAGTATTAACTTTCAATACATCAAAATTTCACCCATAAACTTACCTAAGCTCAACTAAAATACTTAAATACCACACTACTTATGCAAAGAATGATGTATATACATGTATGCACATACAAGCAAATCCCTCAATTGTAAATAATCTTACAAACAGAGCAGAAGAAATCAGGAACAATATGAAGATACAAACAATTCCATTACCCGCTTCTTTTCGGTCGATTTGTCAAGTCCACAGAAATAAGAACTAAATAAATAAGTAATATAAAATAATTCGAAGTTTCGAAAGAGCAAAACAATCATACATTGAGGAGAAATGCCTTTGAAGAGTTTGGAACTGCAGGAAACTGTTGTCGAAAGATAAGTTCATGGGGGACTGGTATAAGGGATCGCAAATTCTTGGGCCGCGTTCACCTGGTTGAATCCCCAGGCCCGGGTCTTGCCGTCATCCTTAATCATGGGCCGGTCCAACACTTAATTTGAGTTGAGACCCAAATCCAATAAATATCTTTGTGCATATATTATTGTTTATATTTAGTAATTTACTAATAGGTGCATTCATTCAATGAAGAAGAACTGAAGAATAAAAAACAAATATTATTAAAATCTTTAGACAGCTTTTATATATGCCATCACATTGCTCTAATTCAACGCCTGCAGCTGCAAACATGACATAATCACAAGTACAAAATGAAAAGATTCAGATACAATTAAATATGCATATTATTTTATTAAAACTTACTAATTAACTTGATTACAAATTACAATTAAAAACGTTCAGGTGGCAGAAGTTCCGTGGCCATGTAGGAACAAGGATGCAGCAGCAGCATCTACAAACCAAACCAGCTTCCCATCTTTGGGCCCGACCAACTGGGCTGGATAAGGTTCATCCGCCTTCGGTTCCATCATCACATGCGAAAACGAACGGGCCACATCATTCCCGGAGGCCACGATAGCCACGTTTGCAGCAGCGTTTATAACTGGTAGAGTCAGTGTCACGCTCTCTCTAGACGCGTCAGATGACACGCAGGCAACCCACTGGGAGTCCTCTTCTAAGACTGGATGATTAGGATAAAGAGACGCCACGTGGCAGTTGTTTCCCAGATTTAAGAGCACAAGGTCAAATCTGGGGCAGTCACTAGATGGAGAAACAGGAACCGTTCTTCTTCTTACTTGCTGTCTGATGGAGAACTCGTAGCCATTGGCGGCCGACTCTCCCGGCACGCCGTGTCTCACGGAAACAACATGCGTCGGCATTATGGGAACCTGTCTTACCATAAACCAAGCAGAAAAAAAAAAATTTAAACACATTATTAAAGGAAAATTTTACCAATCGGAAAAATAAAAGAAGAGAGTTCGTATGTTAAGCTACTGTCGATCTAAACTTAAACATAATATGCAGTAGTACTTTGAACATAATATACCTACTACAGCCAAATAATGTGCACAAAATCTGTCTCAATAATGTATGAGCAGACTGATAAGATCAGCTGTTAATTACGCGGAAATTTAGGGAGTAATCCTTTATGATCCAGCTTATTTTGTGTTTATTTAGAGGAATAGTCGTTGTTAAACCAAAAAAAAAAAAAAAATGGCAACAGGAAACATATAACATGACCATGAGACTAGAATGAAATGCAAATGAGTTTGAAATAAAAATTTGATCTTGGCACGTTCTCTGTCCATATGTCCAGATTTATTATAATGAGTGAAGACATTTTATTTTTCTGATCTTTCGCAAAAATGAAAACAAGCCAAATCTGTGTAAGTTGTATACCTCCAACTTCTTTACTATTTATTCTAATATCTATCATAGCCAAGGAAGTTAAAGACATTACGTCACAAAATTATTCAGAGAGAGAGAGAGAGAGAGAGGGAACCTTGGAGATGAAAGCTTCTGCGGCCTGCCTGTAGAAACTATCAGGGTGCCTCTTATCAGGAACCACGTTCTCCTCAGCCCAAAACACATGCCATTTTGACCAATCCACCGTTTTCAAGAATGGAGGTCTTGTTAGTTTTCTACATAACAAATACATGTATGAGAAAAACAAGTATTTAACAAAATGATATTTCAGGAGGAACTTGAAAAGGATGCGAATAAAACTCCATGCTTTTGTGTGAAAAATAAAAAATAAAAAAGAATAAGGAAAAATTAAGAACCCTAAGCGGTTTGCCATATCTCCCCCGGAGATAACAAGGGAAAAAGAGCCTCTCTCATTGACAGCGGATTCTGAAATTTGATAAACGTAATCGGCAAAGCATGAATCGAGCTCTTCACTGCTATCAAACAATCTCAGCTCCGGTTCTCTCCCCTCCATTATCAACTTTCTTGATCTTCACCCAAACCAATATTCTTCGTTAGAGTAGGAAAAAGTTTCTTCCTTTCCACTCTATACTTTATAATTATATACAAGGAAAAAAATAGCAAGAGAGATAGTTTAAGACACTGTAGATGAATTGACATCGAAATTGACGAGAGCTCGCTTACTTGTAGACTTCGAAGACATTTAATGGGAAAACCTCCCATCAAGCAAGGAGAAGCACGGAAAAATGAAAACCCTAGCTGGCTAGCTGTAATTTACTTGTTTTTTTTCGGAACTTTGACTCAACTGGATAAGTATGAAGTTAATGTGGTGCAGTGAATGATCCTCTAAAACGACAAACTATCTTACTATTGGCTTCAATGTTCAGACATAATTAGCGAAGTACATAGTATTTGGACTTGGATCTGCGGCCTCAAGTATCAGACAACACACTAAACACATTTTTGGTGATTTTTTTTTAATCGGGGTATGCAGGTTAATTGATCCCTGTCTCAATTAATGTTTTGAGATCTTAAAATATATAATTAAATAAATTTTTTTAATGATTACTTTTAATAGTACCTCTTATATTAAATCTTTTTACTCTTTTTTCATCCCATGGTTGGATGATGGTTCCTTTTTAGTGATATTATTCACTTGATATTAGGAAAAGTAAGCATTTCTTTAGTACTATTAATAAGCAAAATTGAAGTTGTTGACTAGACACCTGGTTTCTCACACTAAAAAGGTAGTATCATTATCACTAAAATTATTGGCATTTTTAAATAATGACATAGGGGAAAGAGATAAGTATTGAGGGAAATCTAAGAGCAAATAAGATTTAAAACCACCGCATATAAATAAATAATTGATGCATTTATGCATATGCAGAATTTGTCTCTCTCTCTCTCTCTCTCTCTGTGAACGACATTCACATTCTACAAACCTTTATGCTAATGAGATAATGGTGAACCATTACAATACGTAAAGAATAAAGAATAAATTCTAAAAGCCAGCAACGCCAGAGTGTGTCGACAAATTCAAAGGCTATGGCTATTGGTTAGAGCTTGAAGTAGCTCAAATTGATTTAATTCATGATGTACTACGCCTACAAATACATCACTGCCATGGACCACTGTCAGTATATTTCAAAAGCACAGTACTAAATTTTCAACAAGCAATAATTTATCATACACGTGCATGGGTGAAATTTACTGAGGAATAAAATTCTTAAAGAAATCGGATATATATGACCGAAAAAGGCAATTTTGATCATGTGGGAAAATCTAGTTCCTGGCCCATTTTTTTGTATAATTTAACTTTATCTTTATTTGATAACAAACAGAATTGGTGACTCATCATTTGAGACCTCCGATCGTTTTTGAGATTAGGATTTGGATTATCTCTATCTAAAAGAAACAATCTCATTATATCGAATATCAATATCAGCAAGCATGTATGAAATGTTCAATCCCTTCTATTTTTATCACACATCAATAATAATTAATGTTTACTCACAAAAACACAGAGGACTTAAGAAGATAAATTATTATATGCTTATTGTTTCACATAATCAGCATTTGGATATAATATAACCCACGTATAGTAAATAGTTGTTGACGATTAATCGAAGAGGGAGTTCACTAGTACTTGAAGTTCATCAAAGCTCACAGCTCCATCTCCATCCATAGCAACAATCATATCCTGACAATTGGCTAGAGTGAGTAGAAATCTATTTCATGTAGCTCCTCTCCCGTCAAAATCTCATCCTCATCAGCATCCACAGATTCTAAAACTGATGTAAGGAAATTTCGAAGGCCACCAAGTTCCATATCTTTGGTGTTCATCTCCAAAAACTCCTCTAAGCTCAGCAGCCCATCCTTGTCTGTGTCTGCCTGCTGCATCATTGCTCTCAAATCTTGTTCACTAATATTGTGACCAAGGGAGCTCAAAATTCCGCCAAGCTCTGCAGAAGTAATCGACCCGTCATTGTCCGAGTCAAAGGCTTTGAATGCATTCACTAGAGTCAGGATATTGCTCATCTTCTCGGCTTCTGATAAGAGACAACCCAATTGATTAGCCATCAATGTTTAATTAAGCACTATGGTTCATCATCTACTCTTCTCCTATAAATAGTTGTAATGTGGGGTTCTTATTATTCTTTGTGTGGACATAAAGTTGAAGAATTATAAAGTTATAAGGTTCTTGTATTCTTCAAATTCTGTAGTTATCCTGAAGCTGCATGTAAAAGATTATGCCGATAGGGACAGTGATATTATTAGCCATTATTAATCAGCATCTACAAATATCTTGTTATTCTCTGCCTAAGAGGATTATATATACTGTAGTTTGAGTACATTTGTTTGCACTTAACAAGAAACATATAAATTAAAGCAAAACCAAGAGCAATTACTTGAAGTCCTCGTCATTCCGCTAGTTGCTCTCGACCACGTGTATACCCATAGTTATCGCATTTATAATGTGGATTCTTTACAGATAGAGATGCTCATTCTCCACTTTTCTAAAGCTGACAGTAGGAAATTTTTGTTCCAGTTGTTGCTATCAGTCTCCAGAACTTACCGAAAAGGATGCTAATCAAATAAATTAAAGTTTCCAAATGTTACAATCATGTTAATTCTTCCATACTTTATATGCAGTTGAAATATTCACACGACACTTGAATAAATGTAATATGTACGATTCTTATCTGCAAGCAATCTCCAGAAATCCAGACTCCTAGTTGCAGAACCAAATTGTTGGATTTGCAAGAGAGGAGACACGTCATTGACTCATTATAAGATGCAGGACTACCAATATGTATGTAACAAGTTGACAATAAATTTATAACATTGAAAAATACAACTCATAAAATGACCATATTAATCTGTCACTATATTTTATGGTGAGGCCACATTGTTTTATATACATGTTTTAATGTATGATGTCATACTTTATAATCTGATTTCTGGGCCTTGTTATATGCAAGTACTGAATTTTAAGGCCTCAATCAAGCCCATTTATAAGGCCCCATTTTGAAGAATGGTTTTTAAATTAGGCCATTCCAACCCCAGATCCAGATGGCCTAATTGTTGCAACCTAGCCCTTCTAAACGTGGACTTCAACAGAAGATAGTTCAATATATTATTATCTTCCCAAAATTCAGCAAATTGCACCTGCTTCGACTTCGGCTCAAAGATCTCTGATTTTGAAGGTGTTGGCATTTCTGTATTAATGAAATTGGGGGCTTGCACAAATTTTTTAAAAAAAATCCTTCACTAGAAGTAATCATCCGGCTACAAATTTGCCAAGAATGCCAAAATGTAAGCATCAATGGTTTTTCATTTGATCATTAATGAATGATAATATATATATTTAATTACAATTTATTATCTTTAAAAAGAAAAAAAACTTTCATCAACTCCACCTACCCTTAAACCAAAAAAATTTCAGTTTCTCTTACTACTATCTGAATAAGTCTGGGATGCACAAACACAAAAAAATGCATTTCTTCAGTAATAAATTGTAACTTTGAGTCATATTCTTTTCGAAATTGGGGGACAAGTTGTAGTGGATCTTTCAAATTGCTTTCAGAATCAGGTTCTGAAATTGCAAATCAACCTTCTAAAGTCTGAAATCAAGTGAAATGCGCCGATGGACATAAAGAACTGGGCCCTTGAAAATGTCACTGAAGACAACAAACTATATGAAAGGCCTAAATACAAAGAGATAGTATACATACAATCAAGCAAATTAAGTTCATACTGTGGGCTGAAAATAACCTTCACACATTTTGGTATCAAATCATTTTCAAGTCTTAATTTTATAGTTCCCAATATCATACCCCACAAACAACCCTCTTGCTCTTCCTCTCGTTTTGTCCTTTCACTGAGTACTATTTGAAAGGTCACGTTAATATAAAAAATAAAAATTTTGAGCACAATACTTTCAATCAGATATCACCAATCAAAAAAAGCAGAAAGGAAATGACGTGACTTATGAGAATGAACAATGGGGTAGTACTATAGCGGCCGCTCCTGATGATCTTCATGCGATTTCTTTAGACATAAATTTCTCTCTCCCCATTTGATTGGTCTTTTATGTTTCAATTCGCTTTAAAAAAAATTTCATTGTATCTTGTTTAGCTGAAGACTGAACAATCAAGAATGAAGATATTTCCATCAAGAAGTCGCTCTCAGTGCCAGAAAATATCAAAAAATTCCAAAGAAATTTTGAGTTAGGAACTTGTAATGTCAATAGTTAGACTTGATTATCGACATTAAGTCTCTTATTAAATAGAAATTGGCCCCACACTTTTGATTATGGCCACAGCCTCGTGAGATTAAAGAAGACTTTGCGTTACTTAGGGCTTATTGATAGATATAGATAGGTCCAGTTTTGTTCTAAGCGGAAAAATCAACCTTTTGAACCTGTAAAAACTTTCTTTATGAAGTAAATTATTTTAATTGTTTTTTTTCCCTAAAAAAATTAATGAAATCCAACTTGAGGTTACTTAATTGAATTTATAAATTCACCCAAATATCTTACGGGTGATAACAATAAAAAAGTACAGCCTTAGCGACCTAACAGTGATAGACGTTCTTTGAGAAAAGAAAAGGGCAGAAAAATATCTTGGCGTATAAATAATTAACATTACCATTTTAATTAAATTACTCCAAAAGCGAAATGTGCTTAGGTACATGAATGGCTATTAATAAATTGAACTACAGACCATGACTTGCTTCCACTACTTTTCTAAATTGTCGTATTAACAAATAATTATAATTTATAGTTGGCATCGTTTACTATTATTTAATCTGCCCACGGCTATTGAGAAAATGACGGCACCACGGATTCATCGTTTTGTTCTTGCCGCAAAACAGCGGTGCAAGTGCAACCACTGTAAAATAATTGAGAGCCTTCCCACCCAATGTTTCTGGAGCCAATTCTAAGTTTCCAAGTCGTCCGGACTCTTATATTTTAATTACTTAATAATGAAGAACCCTACCAACTAACATGCTACTCACCATTAATTTATAATTAGTGTCCTAAATTTTTTAATCAAAGAATGACGTATACTTAATTTTCTTAATCGATTACTGCTCTTTTTTTAATTCTAGCATTCTTATACAAAATTACAACTTGTTCATATTTTCTTTTGGACTCTTTTAATCGGCTTAAGCTAAAGTTTTTAGAAGCCTTGCTCATCAGCTCATGGCTGTAGCAAGGCTAGGCTACCGTCGACCTCCGCCGTTCCTTTTAATTAGCTTTCTTTTCTAATTCATTTTTAAGCTAAAATTAGAAGTCGATTCCTAAGCTATCATGTTATATATTGTTGTGTGTGATTTTTCCACCAAGCTGGGGGAGTTGCGAGGTATTAGCTCGACTCAGAATCAGTCCGACTCTACCGATTGTCCGACCCAGCATAAGCTCGTCGAGATATAGCTCGACCCAGCACAAGCTAGTCACGAACAATCCGAATGATCATTCAATCAATTCCCAAATATTACGGGAATGATTAAATTGACAGTAATCACTGTGCAAGCACAGCGCCCAATCGCGAGAATATCAGAATTACATTTTAATTTAATTAGCTTTCTTTTCTAATTCATTTTTTAAGCTCATTTTGAAGCTAAAATTAGAAGTCGATTCCGAAGCTATCATGTTATATATTGTTGTGTGTGATTTTTCCACCAAGCTCGGGGAGTTGCGAGGTACTAGCTGGACCCAGAATCAGTCCGACTCTACTGGTTGTTCGACCCAGCATAAGCTCGTCGAGATATAGCTCGACCCAGCACAAGCTAGTCGTGAACAATCCGAATGATCATTCAATCAATTCCCAGATATTACGGGAATGATCAAATTGACAGTAATCCAAGCGCAATCACAGCGCCCAATCATGAGAATATCGGAATTGTATTTCAATTTAATTGTAATCCCTTTAATTTCTCTCTTGCTTCTTGTACAAACTTTGTATATAAACCCCCTCAAATGATGAAAAAGTATTAGAAAATTTTGATAGAACTTAGACTGTAAGCTCTCACAACAAATACAAAGAACAGTGGACGTAGGCTTAAGAGTTTATCTTGCCGAACCATTTTAAAAATCTCTATGTCATCGTCTTCTTTACATTCATTATTCATTTATTGCTGATTATCTGTAATCGCGCACACACCAGTTTCGATCCCACCAAGGTCGATCGGATCACTCTAGTAGGTGAAGATTTCTGTATCAATATTTTAGCGCTAGAATGAGGGCCCTCCGCCAACATCTCAAAAATTTCGGCAAACAACCCCAACAATCTAACCACTGCAAGCCAATGATAATACGTACAAGGACAAAAACCACCACCAGAAACCATGATGATGTGGAAGCCACCCACCAGGAGGTTCAACAAGACGCCGCAGGGTGTCGACCACCATTGCCACCATCCCAGCATGTTGCAAATAACTAGGGGGCAGGAACATCAAACCCTGAGAACTGCCAGCTGGTGGAAATGATTAAAATTATGGTTGCACAGGTGGTGAAACAGAACATGGCTGGATGAGAAATCAGCAACCAACAGCCTAGAATCTCAACCAGCCACGTTTCACCAATGCTACCCCAATAAGTATGAATTCGGCAAGTGGTCAGTCTGGTTCATTGGCGCCAAGAGGCGACCAATACCTCAGACACTACTCAAGAGCGTGAGTCTCGTGGGTCAGCTAACCATAGGAGGCGGCCAGAGAAACAGCCACTAGGTGAAGGCGAAGGCAACAACCACCCCCGAAACGCTCGATAATATCCCCAATGTCAGCGTGCCGGTCTTAACCCATGCCCAAAACAAGCTCGATCCTTGCAAACTAGCGAGACGAGTCACATGCGCCAATCTAGCAATGACTGACGTTCCGATTATAACCGACGTTGCGAGCAACGTACTGATGAGCGTGATAATACTTATCAACCTAGCCATCATGACTTAACTTTGTGCATCAATGTGCTCAATGGAGGGGCTTCACAAGCAACAGACTTACGAACACACTTGCTCGAAGTAAGGCTGAATAGAGCCAGCCAGAGAAACCGCAATGAAGACTTAGATCGTGTACAAAAAATGCTCAACGATCTAAGGGCCCGCCAGAACAGTG